TCAAATTGAACTTAAATGTGAAGGGGAAAAAACCACTCACAATCTCATAAGTGCCCAACAAATTTGGTATGATATTGTCTATGTTTTTGAAATTGTCACTTCTTAATAACAAGTTATCTACATACATAAAGTAGAAGAATAATATATTTTACATATTCAATACAGTAATACAAATTACGAACTTTATTACTCCTTAGAAACTGTCTCTCCTGTAGAAAAGCGTCAATGTTGGAAAACCACACACCAAGGGCTTAATTCAATCCTTATACCACACGATTGAGTTGGCACACTTTGCTTGCTGTTTTGTACATTGCCCATCAGTTGTGCACCTCCTTGTGTACTTCCATTCCTCGGTCCAATTAAAAATGCAGTGTTGACTACCTCAATTCATTCTTGATAGATGATAAAGAATGCTACTCCTGCGGAGGCGGTTCGAAACGATGCTCATGCAGTCTGAAACAACGAGGCCATCCAGTGGTCCAAGATCGAACTGTGCGCAATCGTGCAGGTTGGTTCCAAGTTCAGCTGACGACGAAGAGAAATCGGCACCGTGAGCCCAATGGTTTCTCGTTGAAACACCATGGCAGCTTTCCCATTTGGGCCGCCAGCAGAGGCAGTGAGCAAGCGTACCGACGAATGTTGGATCTGAGGATGACAACACGTTGCGGCATGGACCCTTCTGACTTCGAGCTTCGCCGAACACGGCCCTCCCCGTCTTCCGCGAAGGAGGACCAAGCCCCTTGCCCGGACTCCAGCGGCTTCAATCCATTTAGCCTTTGCTGCTTGCTGTCAAAGGCGTATGAGTGCGGCGACCGCACTCGAACGCTGTTGCCTGCAACACTTCCTCACGGACCCGTGGGTCCAGCCGGAGGGGTTTACCGAGTCCTTGATATTCATGCGCTACAGTGCCAAAGTTCCGACCTTACCGCGTGCGTTGAAAATGGCATGACCATGCCGTCACCAGGTTCGAGGACGACGCACGCGCAACAAAGTCTCCCATGTCCACGTCCGGTACGATGGCCCTGCTCCTATAAATACAAGAGCCCTCCTCCGTCTTCCACAACCTCCAGCTCCCAAGTCACTTCATCGGCAAGTACACGCATCAGGAACCAGGAGAGCAGTGCAGTATTTCGGACACTTCGGACTCATCGGGGATCGCAGGATTTCTAGATCGAATTTCGGAGGCCAGGATTCTTGTGGAGGTGTGCCGCTCAAGGAGATCGGAGCGTGCAGCGAGGACGTGAAAACCGTCGCCGATCACACGAGTCCACAGGGGTGTGAGTCCAGCAGTGGTCGTGAAACCGTAGACCCTCCTCCAAAATGGCCAAGCAATTCCAGCACCTGGTAGCGGCGTTGGCGGCAGTGGTGGTGCTTTGTGCGGTCATGGGCGCGCAAGTGGACGCTCAAAGCATTCCTGCGCCGGCTCCCTACATGCGAGGCTACGCCCCATCTCAAGCTCCCGCTGCGGTGTACGATGGCGTTCCCGAGTACGCTCCAAGCTTGGCACCCAGCAACGCCCCCGCGTCCGCTCCAGAGGGGTCGCCCATGTCTGCTCCGGTGGTGGCTTCTCCGGCGTACGGTCCCAGCTCTGGCTCCCCATTCCAATCCCCAGCTGATGCACCGGGACCCATGTCGGGAGAAGGTTTCTGAGCTCAGTCATGTGGATCTTCTGGCTGAGCGCGTGAAACATTTTTTGTAGCGACACATTGTTTGGAACACTCGCAGATTCATGAGCAGTTCCAGTAGTGGTAGGTGTAGATGTAGATGAAGTGAAGCATTGGTTGTGGGTTGCCACGTCGAAGTAAAGCATCGATTGGCTCCACAGCGGAGCATGTACATTGTCGTTCATTGGGAAGAAGATTGAATCAACATCCGAGATGAGTTCTCTTTGCATGGACCAACTGTGGTGGTTGTGGAAAGGCAGCATCCTGGCACCATCCTCTCCAACATCTGTGCCAAGCTTCAGTATGGGATTCATATTCTGATAGAGGCAGAAGAAGTCGGGCAATGGATGTTGGGTTGCCGGTCTTGGTGGCACTGCCAGGATTGTAACCTCCACTCTGAATATGTGGTACGCGGCGTGATGGTTGTGCAGAAGTTGAATTGTGTTGTAATCAGATTCTGTGATTATTGGGTGATTTGTACATGTTTACACGTGTTGAGTAAGTTTAATTGGATTCGATCAGTCTGGACGGTTGGAGAGTATAATTTGAGACTTGGGTTTTAGCATGGGTTGGCAACTTATTTTAGGAAGGGTGGTATCGGAATTGTTGGGAGTGTGTTGCTTCACAGTTTGTTCAAATGAGCTCTTTGCTTTTAATTCAATGAAATCAACACTTTGGATGTGGAGTAGGTTAGCATTGTTTTCACAGAAATGGATTTATGTTGGTAGATATGAGATCTAGTTAATAACATCTTTGGAACAATTATCAAACTGCGGAGAGAATTTTCCGACTGTCGTCAAACATTTTGAGTTTTGCAAGTTAGTGTGATTACTGTTAGATAGAATATTAGTCGGCTTTGTTACAGTTGTACGAAAGTGTGGAGATGTCATGTTGATTTCTGTGGAAATTTATACTTTTGTTATCATAATCTTGTATATTAATAACTTGATTTTTGTGGTTCTTCGTATTGGTCTTTACATGTATGTATATATATTTACATACCGTTCATTTAGTAATGATGGGACATTATCAACAGGTATTTTAACATGTATATCTACATAGGCAAGTCAGAAATTAGGCTGAGGCTAACTTGCTACAAGCACACCTAATGTTGTTATGTGTACACCCAAAACCTGTGGAGGGTAGTGATTAATTGGGTGTTCTAATGTGGATCCCTGTGTCCCCACAAGTGCGAGGGTGAGGGGGCAGCGGGACCACCGGAGCCCCCCCTCCCGTGGGCGCTGCCCCAGGAAAAAAAATTGCATCCACCGGAGTCCATGCACAAATCATCTTCCAGCTTCAAGAGCTCATCGACAAGAGTTGTCATTTTCATAAGGATGGAAGCATCTTCTTCTCTCGCCTGCTCAGTGTTGTTCCCACGGAAGTCGAATCGTGCGCAAACAGTCCCTGTTCGCTGCCATCGTGCTGCTTTCTTGAAAGAAAAATGGGTCCGAGAATATCTCGGAAAACAGCCCAATTTCTTCAACGACAATGTTGAGTCGATCTCCCATCGTACCTCTGCACCTGCAACAGATTCAGGACCTTCATTAGCTTGTAAACTATTTCGCCTCTACAACGCGTACTGTGGAGGTTCAATGCCTGATTTCAAACAAAAGCATCCTGAAAAGAGGAATCCAGTGAAACCCACAAGCGGATGCTACTACATTTTCAGCAAACGTCAATTACAGTGTCACTAGTCGAGATGCACGGAAAGAATGCAGCATTGCAATGAAAGCCACCTCGCACAGCGACGCCACGGCGGAAATCCTGTGATTCGCGCCTCATGTCGAGCAGAGAGAACAAGGCGAAGGCAAGTAGGCTGCAGCCATTACAACCACCTTCTCCAACGACGAACGTCGTTCTCAGAGACTGAGCGCTTGCAATATAACCCCCCGTCTAGGCATCCAAAAAACCAAAAGCTCCTGGCCAGAGCTCCCCCACAAGCATAGCCTACTGCACACCATGGCCAGACATAAGAGCTGTCAGGTTACCTTTATTAATTTCACTTTCCGGGAAGCGAATGATCTCGGCCACTCAAAGTAAGCGTGTGGGTCCTCGGAATGGGACAGTCTAACTCTTTCGGCGTATAGCATCAAAGTGAAGAGTCTACGATCCTTGCAGAATCCAAGTGGCAATGACCACCCAAGGCAGTGCAAGAGCATCCCTTTTCCATGAAAACACCCGGATATCTCACACTTTCCTCAGGACATGGACGGCTCTCCACTTCGTAGTCTCGCGCCTGGGATATTACCGCAGCCCATGCCTGAGCAACATTTCATAAGGAGATGTCTACAATCCCATGCAAAATCGGGCATCTACTCTTCCGGTTCTCAGGTACACCATGTGAGCATTGGAAGATCACACGCCAATTATCAGCAGAGCAAAAAGCAGATTCATGATCGTCGTCGACTGATCCAACTGATGTGTTGCGACAAAACCGATGTCAGGACGCAACAATTTTACTGAAATTTGCCCCTACAACAGCATCAATGGAGAGGATCCGCGACCTGGAACGAGACACTTCTGTGCTTGTTGTCTCGGAATTGTTGAAGCTACTACTGCATTTCAGAGACGTGGAAAACCGCCTGGAATGCTTAACGCCTCTTCACTTCTGTGCATGGACTCCGGTGAATTCAATTTTTTTTCCTGGGGCAGCGCCTCCGGAGGCTGACCGGTAAGCGGGACCACCGGAGAGGGGCTCCGGTGGTCCCGCTGCCCCCCTCACCCTCGCACTTGTGGGTTCACATGGATCCACATTAGAACACCCAACTAATCACTACCCTCCACGTGTTTTGGGTGTGCACATAACAACCTTAGGTGTGCTTGCAGCAAGTTAGGGTGTGCTCGTAGCCTCAGCCCAGAAACTATTTTGTGATTACCAAGTGGTATGCGGCAAAGTGAGTCTTTGTTTGATTTTTATTGGCACACAAGTATTTGTCATTAAACCTATTGCTAGCGAAATTGATTGTGCTGGAAGTGCATCCAGGTTATTACTGAATTGGAGACCACATCTAACATGACTATCTTGAATGTGTCTTACAAAATGGTTTTGTTGAAGTATCATTTTACGAACTAAGCACACAATATTGCAAAAGGTTACACATGCTTACAATGGTTTGTGTTGCATGACCACTTTATTCTTGTCAAACTGTTTGCAAAAGGAATAAAAGCACAAAATGTACTTCAACTTAATATCTGACATGCATGTTATGAAATGCAAATCAATACTTAGAATCAATCTTTTTCCTGATATCTTTTTAATATGTAGTTGTTTGTTAACACTGTGGAAGGTTTTACTTGAATTTGATATAGTTCAACAAAACCAATCAAGGTTGCCTGTCCAATACTCCAATTACATGAGCTCAGTGACGTGACATACTGATGCAGGACTTCCAACCCTATCACCGAAGGCGGCAATGTAGTCACGTTTGTATCTGAGGCTATTTCTGAAGCTGACGTTGGGTTTTGGGCTTGCTTTGTTTGCTTTCGTCTGTCTTCCTCGACAAGGTCTCTGTCTCTGTTTTGGAGATCTGGTGGGTCTATAGAAACAATCGCCTTATCTGAAGAAGTGAGATCTGAGCTCAATCTGCAGCTGAATCTTTCGCAGACGATCGTTTCAGACTTTTAGTTTGATATTTTGGGTGTTTTGTTTTTTTCTGTGTTCTGTTGTTATCTGCGGACTCGATGGAGGCAGTAGACACTGTTGTGAGGCCTGTAAAAGACTTCGCAAAGGATAGCATTCGGTTGGTGAAAAGATGCCATAAGCCGGATCGGAAAGGTTCGTTCGGGCGCCTTCGATTTTTCTTTCCTAGTTTGTGTGTTGATGCAAATGTTCTTCTCCTGGGAAGTCTTGAAGGATTGTGCATGCGGCTCTAGGATTGTGTCTGTCTGTGTACGATAATGTGTTGCCACATCCTTTGAAGTGTGTTCGAGGAGAGGAATGAGATCGATTGGAAGTGCTATGTAAAATTATTGCTCTTAGCTTGTTCTTCCTAGTCAATACTCCCTGCCTTGTTCATTATTGTCTTTGATAACTTACCTGAAACCAGCCGTTTACTATATACGTTGGGCCTCAAAAGCGTGGATACCAAGAAGGGAGTTCTTTTTATCTTCTGCTGTATGTCCTTTCACGTAACATTCTACTAAGTTTGGATGCAATGTCCAGCGACTTGATTCATGTGCTCTGTTTTGCCAATTCAGAATTCTCAAAGGTTGCTCTAAGGACCGGGCTAGGGTTTTTAGTAATGGGCTTCATCGGCTTTTTCGTAAAGCTCATCTTCATCCCTATTAACAATATCATCGTCGGAACTGTATAGTGTTATACTTCCTGCGTGAGTTCTCTGCTGTATTCCTTCTTCTTTTACACCTTCTATCTCTGGACTTATTTCTGTGTGTTCTGATTCTCTGGAACTGTGATGCCAGCCATCACGGAGCCAGTACATTATTTAGAGCTCTGTACTTTACATAGAATTAGGTGTTGCTTGAAGCTTCTGATTTGAATTTGTACTTCTCGGTGTCGTGGCGCATGCATAATCACTCAAGTTCCCTCTGTCTATGTTTTGTGTGCAGGTGTAACGGTGGACACGTTTGGACAATAAACCCAATGCTCATCAGTTTTTGAAATTTATCGACTGTGCCGACAAAGATTATTTTTAGAAAATTGTTGAATGGTTTAGAATTTTTTAGTATGTTCTCTTGCTTCATTCTTTAAATTTAATCAAACCTCCTGTAAATCTGAGAGCCTTTTCGGTCCGATGTCAGACGTAGCAAGGTTATATGTCATTGATATGTAGATGAGTTCAGCATGCAATCAACATTTGAATGCCTACGAGATTGTAGATTATGGAGCGTTGAGTACGTATTCAGTAGTGGGTGTTGCATGTCGACTGATACTAACTGCATTCACCTGAAGTATCAAAGAGTATAGGTCAAGCAAATTTAAATGTAACCGACTGAATCAACTTGTCCAAGTAGCTATTTGTCCATGATTGCACTGCGAAATATAATTAACTGCATCCACTGCAACATGTCGGACTTGCTAAGACGTCAAATTATAGATTTATCAGTCACTCCAAATTCTCGTTTATTAGTTTATGATCAGGGCCCAGAGCACTATCATCGTCAACAGTCTGGTACTTTTTTACCCGTTGTTTCTTCGCTTCAAAAGTCGTCAGTCATTTGTATAGCATTTCGAGTCTAGGTGGATCTTGGATTGTAAATTTGCAAGTTTTGCTGAATGATAAGGTCGACTTGAAATCAATCAGTGCCTAAGTTTGCTCGTACACATTTTCAAGTCGTAGGATCCAAATTCCTTTAGTGATAAAAATATGTAAATAGCACATAAAAAGGCGCATCTAGACTTGTTGATTGAACAAAACCACTTACCCACTGTATTAACTGTCCGAGGTTCACCAAGAATTTCTTTTCAGAGACGATCGTCTGCAAGAAACGCGGGCTGCTTACAGATATTAATTTCATCAAATAAAATTTACCCATTAAGTAGATTATACGTGCCATGCATTATAATTTGCTTTTTAGCCCTCCCACAATAGTATCAAAATATTTAGTGCTCGTCTTGAGCTAACATTGGTTGCCATAACACTTGGTGAGTTTGTATTGGATGTGTTGTGGATGAATGTCAACTTGTAGATGATTGTGAATGTAGTGATATTCATGAATTGATGGTAAGCATGTCTATGTATGTGTAGGGTGTTGCTAATAGCATCACTATTTTTATTTATTTATTTATTTTTGTTTGTTAATGTCACCATAATTTTCTATTTATCAAATGTCACCAAAAAATTTGCTATTGCCACCACAACTTACCATTTGTTTGACATATTTTTTTATTTTTTGATATTTCAATATATATTTTTTTATAATTTAAATTATATATAAGGTAATTCTAATTTTAATAAAAAGTAATTGAAAAAATATATATATTGGTATATTGATGTATATTTGATATTTTGATATATTTTGATATATATATATATATATATATATATATATTTGATATTTTACTCTTATCATATTATAGGATTCTGCACGAGTTCACACTCTCAGTTGCTTCCAATTTGTAGTAATATTTTTAGACTAGTTGATATATATATATATATATATATATATATATACATATATACAAACACATAGAGAAAGAAGCAAAACACCCAACTTCATTCATTTGGTTTACCACAAGCTTGCAAAATCGTCACGTGGGTTCAGTATTTTTGCAAAGCTCGTGAAATCGTCAACAAGGTAGAATGGTCATTTACTCAGTTCGATTAAAATGAGAAGCAATTTTTCTCAGAAGACACGTCGGTAATGGGAAATTCTGCATCAAAATTGATTGCACATGTTTTCGAAACAAATGCCTCTCCTTTTGTATTTCCCACACAGGCCGTGTTCCTGCTTAAACCCTAAACCTGACTCTCAAAATCGAGGTCTTTGTCGCGGAGTTGGATTGCCACCGTGCGAATTGGTTCGAATTGGGTGTTCGGAACCCGCGCGTTGCAGCGTTTTGTTTAACCCACCCGTTGCCGAAAACCTTTTGTGTTCGTTCCACTTCATCACATTGAGGGGGTTCAATTCCTAAGTTTGGTTCTGATTGAATGGCTTGTAGATTTTGGGTACGTGAATGTGGGATGAAGGGTTTTTGCGCGGGTTTTGATGTGGGCAATCGGTGATTTATGGATGATTTACGAATTTGTAAATAGTTCAGGTTTATCGGGTAGGAAGTGTGAGTGCTGGAGAGGAGTTGGACTGAAATGGATTTTCTTTCTTCTTTCAGGAATTTGTTGGATGCATTTGATGCCAGAAATCAAGGGGACATCTTTGTGGCTCTAGGTGGCTGCAACTGAGAGAAAACCGACTTTACCGACGGAGTCACGAAACGACCGTCCGGTGAGGGACGTATAGAGCCTGTGTTAGCTTTTGTCTATTGAGATGGGAGACACGGTGAGAGGAACCGTTACTCCTCTCTCGGAGTCCATTTCGGTGGAAGATGCTAGAAAAGTGGCGAAGAAAGTAGAAGAAGCCATAGAGACACAAATCAAGCAGCTCAAAACTCTTCAAGGTTTTGCCGATGAGAATCGGTCCTTGCGCAAGCTTCTACTGGAGCTTCCAGATCTCGTTTCTTACAACATAATGGTAATTGTCGCTTTAAAACTTCGAAAGTCCAATTTGGAATTCTTCTCCGCTTAGGTAGTTCTTGACCAGTATATTTTTAACAAATTAATTCTATATGATCATGCTGCGGTTGCTAATGCTTTTATTTTGCTTTTAATTTATGCATACATTTGTTTTTCTTTAATGCTTTAATGTAATGGAATTAAAATTTTACTGAACAAAGAGTCTGTTGACTTCGGCATTAAATTACTAGTGTTAATATAGATAACCAAACTTGATACCATCAGATCGGCTAAAATGTTGTTGTTGCTCAGGTGCCATTCGGAAAGGCTGCATACATGCCGGGGCGTCTTATTCATACGAATGAATTCCTGGTATGGGAACGGGTGCTATTACTTCATTTATTACCTTCTCCAATTGCCTTAGGTGGTGGCTGATTATCAGATAACCGTGAAGTAGTTTAAGATTGTTTTTAGGGATTGAAGTGTAAGTTGCATTACAGATTTATTCGCTTGTATGCCATTGTCTGCTTCTCAATTTTAAACGTAAAATGAGTGGGCATGGTGGGATGGTGGTCATAGCTCAGGTCCTGCTTGGCGAGGGTTACTATGCTGAGAGATCTGCCAAGCAAGCAGCCGAAATCTTGATGCGACGTAGCGAATTTATCAAGGCTAAAATTGATGCCCTTAATAATCAAATCAAAGACCTTGAAGCCGAAGCTTCCTTTGCTAAGGACACTGCTGCTGAAGCTGCTGTACGTGGTCTCGATCTCCAGCTCTTTCGCTGCATGTTTGTTTAGTATCTTACAGCTTTGGTGAATCGTATAGTCTATGTCTTCTCTATGCATCCATCTAGCGCTGAAGTTTAACATGAATGTACTGACATGTATCAGCAAACGATGTTGTAGTTCTAAACTAGGTTATGTGCAGTCTTTGATGAATTTCTCTTTGGACGCAGAGTGGACTTGTGGAAATTAGGGAGCCATATATGGAATCCACAATGCAGCCTGCTGGGAAGAGATCTGATATCAATAACGTGGAAAGCATCGCTACAAAAGGTTCTAACGCTCACATTTTCGATTGATGTTACATGTTTTATTTCAGAAAGCACGGCTTACGTCGAGTTTGAGTGATGGTTTTGTAAGAAATCTAAGCTACTAGATCATGAAGGTTTTTTCAGTTCCTATGCTGGTCTATGTGAGGATGTTTTCTGTTACCTGATACATGGTCCATTATGGTGTGGATCGAGTCAGGTGAAGCTCATGAAGTCATGTTTTTTGCATGATCATTTGCAGATGACAAGGAAACGGACAGTGATCCTGAACATTCGCGGATTATGGCTCGACTAGCTGAGTTAGAGTTAGCTGAAGCAGCCGCTGGAGAGGATGATGACGATGATGTTGGTGGCGATGATGACGACGATGAAGAGATGATGGAGACCAACTTGCGAGCATCGTTTCGGAATTCTCTCCTTGGTGATTCAGATGAAACCGATGAAGATGAAGATGAAGAGGAAGACGAATATGATGATGACGATGAAGAAAGTGAGCAGGTAGATTTAAGTAACAGAACAGCAGCGAACACACTCCTGAATAGAAGTTCAGTGCACTTGTCGGAGATTGATGGGCGGGAGGAATTCCATAGCAGTATCATCCAAGACCAACCGCGCAGCCAAGTCCCGGAACAAGGAACTCAAAGTGATGGATATCCTGCTCTAAAAGCTGGTGAACAAATTCAGAAGAGAAAGGTACAATTTCAGAGCACTATCATCTCGAGCCAAGATGGCAGCCAGGTTCAAGCCAGAGAACAAGGAATTCATAGTCTGGGTTATCCTGCAACAAAAGCTAATGAATGGAATCGGGATGAGATTTCCAAGGGCGAAAGTATCGCAGCGTCTCCTTCCTCTGAACAGCTTCCGCCTGTACAGATAAAGCCATCTCCCGCACAACTACGGGTACGATCATTCTTATACCTAAAAGTGGCACACGAAAAGAAACTTATGCACCTTATATAAGTAACCTAGTATTTGGCTAGTTGTACAAAATTTTCTCTGCAAATTCTGCAGTAATGCACTTAATACACCTGATGCTGGCTAGTATGTTCTTCTGTTATGTTGTGGATCTAGAAGCAGCTCTGGGTTGCAAACACTAATCATTCTATTTAATCTTTGGTTAATGAATGTTAACCTGCATTAGTTTCTGCACCCAACATACAATTATATAATCTGCTTCTGACCTGTGTGGTATACGAGATACAAGATCTGTAAACGTCTGGCTGTGGTGCATCTTTTCTGGACGAGCCAATGTGGCTTCTAACCATGAGATTACTGGAATCATTGCTCATGTTGCCACTCGTTCACTTGATTGCGTTTCCAACATGCAAGTGAAACTCTTTTATCTTTCTCTGCCAGGCTTTCACAGGAAGCGTTATGGAGCGAAACACCGAACACCTCTCTTCTGTAACACCTCTAGTAAGTTTTTCACTTCATAGCACAAACAGCACCATTATCACACATCAAGTCGTGAGCTTGATGTTAATCACTTGTCAAGTGTGTTGCCATGTATTCGTGACACTATCACGTTTGCTGTTTGCAGGCACCAGAGGTTCCTCCAAGTCGACCTGTTTCAAAATTCAAACAGCGGAAGGGCTAACGTGTCACCTGCTTCAGGCATCTGCTCTAAGAACGTTCCGAGCTACTATATACAATAGGAACTCAAATCGTAGAATGCTTAAAAGGTCTATCTGGAGCATGTCACTTAGATCCTCTGAACTTACTTTACTATAGTCATCATTTTCTTCTCTATTTTAAGAACTTGATCGGAGAAGATGGCAAGTATGAACTTTCGGTTAAGCTTCCCTTCAGATAGAAACACTAGTCATCCCTCACTTCCTTTCTTAATTCTGATTGTCGTTCCTTCTGGGACAAGGCAGTTCTTAGTTTTCTGTGCAGGGTTTGCTTGTAGGTTAAAGTTTCATTGCTTGATTAATTGCAGAGGGGTTGTTGAGGAGCATTGCTATTATCGAGGGCGTGATTGATAGGTTTTGGTGTGAGATTAATTGCTGTTTTACTTTTTCCTGAAGTGGACATGGCCAGACATTATCTTGAATATCTTGCGGTGCCCTTTGGTGCTGCCGCAGTATTGCGCTTGAGCGAAGATTGAAATTACAAGTTCAAACCGGTGTTAATATTAGTTAGAGTCATGATTCGTTATCACAGGTCTTGTGCTGAGAACAAGCCAGTTTCTTGTCAATGTCTGACATCATGGAAGTCTGAGTTGAGAGATTCTCTCTGGTATGTGAACTCTTGTTAGAGTTAGTCACAGAACTTATGTAGAGCATTTGTATGACTCTTGATTTACAATTCAGTTTTTGAGAATTAGGGTGTTTCAACTCTTAATTTTTCGTGCAGATGGACTTTTCTATCATGTGTATGATCTCAGTGCTGTCACTGGAGTAATTGTGTTGGCAAGCTTTTAACGTGTTCTCATGCACGGTTACTTGTACAACAGTTTCTGATCATGAAGAAAGTTCCACACAGAGGGTGTGCAGTGCCCACATTATGGGAAGGAACACATTTGACGCTTGGAATTTAGCCATCACTTGACAATTGGTTGGCCCCTTGTATGGAATCTGCATGTTAGTGTATGTTACGTCCTTTGCACGTTACGTCAGACTTGAATTAAAAGTTGTACATTGAATCACTACAAGAGAAAACAGAAAATAAGTATAAACATCTCTAAATATATAAGTTTCGAAAATTATTTGTAAATTGCCTACAATGGTTGAAATAATCTTATTTATATTTGTTTATGTTAATATTTGAATTTCTGTATATGTAAGTTCATGGTAAAGGGCAAGAATATATTTGAATATTAACAAATGTAGAATATCATTAGTGATTGATTGGTAACATTATGTGTATTTTTATTTCAATTACTTTGGGTTGATTTTCAGATAATTATAGTTACAAATGTTATTGGTAAAGAACAAAGTAAGGGTGTTTTGGAACACTACTTTGTCTCTTAAATATCACTTTTTGATTTCTCAAAGTTCCTTTCTTATCTTAAAGTTGTTTTTAGTGTAATTTTTCAATTTGTCTCTCTTGTTTATATTTTTTGTTTTTTTCTCATTTTAGTAGTATATACAATTTTGTATCAAAGATCCTTTGCAAAAAAAATTATGTAAATATAAATATATATATATACATAAACATACACATCAAAGTAATGATAATTTGTTTACCTTATTTTTGTTGCAATAAAAGATTATCCAAATCTAGATAAATCATTTACAATTTTTTTTGTGCATTTGACAAAACTTATTCGAAGCCAATTTTTACCAACCATTGAGTAAACAATGACATCACATGTTGTTTTTTAGTATATCCAAGTAGATTAGATTAATTAAAATTATTAAAAAATTTACATTTGTTTGATGGAAAAATACTTTGTTGAAAAGAATTATAATCTCTATTAAAAAATTTAGGTCATATGTGGATAAATGTAAAAACTAGATACTTTATTTTTTATATTTATCTATTTTTATTTAATATTTTTATAAAAATGATATATAAAATAATAATTATAAATAATTAATTTTATAAAATAAAACTTATAATAGGAAGAAAAAAACTTGTACATTTTTCTATTATAATAATGATTGGATATAATAGATGATTGAAATAATTAAAATATAATGGATTCAAAGATGATAAAGTAGAGATACAAATAATGGTGTACCATAATTAATCCTTGGATAACATTAGAGATACAATAAGCTAAAAAAAAGATGATGTGGACATACAAATAAATATATATATATATATATATATATATATCATAATTAATAGTTTAATAATACTAGTGATGTGATATTTCTCAAATTTGAATGAAGAGTCTTTTGGCAAACATGTACAAAAACAAGGATTTTGAATTGAGGTGATTTGAGAATGAACTAAGAATAATTACTTATTTTTGGATATAAATATGCATATTATGGTTTGATATCAATCAAATTGGTTGATAGATGGCACTTAATTACATTAATTACAAGTAATAGAAGTAAAATGATGAACATATGAATGATTACATTTATTTTTTTATTGAAAGATGTGACAAAACATTCTCATCTTTGGATAGAAAAATGTACATTCTAACTTCACTTCAAACAAAATGGTTGAAGCTTGATAAATAAAAAGAATAGATAGAGAATTGATTGATGTTTGAATGAACATTTTTTGCCAAATTTAAGAAGAAAATCTTAGACTAACCTTGGATTAATAATTATATAGAATTTTTTTATATAACTTAAGATTAATGTCAAAATGATGAACTAATAAAAAATTAGTAATATAAAATAAATTAAAATAGATTTATAAGTCAAAGAATTAACGAGCAACTTTAATAAACAAGTAAAATGATTAGACATTGGATTTCAAAAACAATGAAGTTGTAGCCATTAAGTCAATGTTATACGAAGAGATTCTCCTTCACCACACCATTGGATTTGTTTGTCACCAATATGAAAACCAAAATTGCCTAAAAGTCAAAATTTTGACAAATTAAGGGGCCACTGGGAGTAGAAGAATAAATAAATAGAAGTTTTGCAGAGAGTGAAGCAACGAATGAGAGAGAAAGCCAATGCTAAAACCAACTTACGTTTGTTTGTTTGACTAAGGTGACAAATGATGAAGAAAAGTATTGAAAGGAATCATCTCTACTATTTGTCATGTGCTGCACCAGCAGTCCAAGGAAATGGGTCGGGATCGGAACTTCGGCACTCTAGCGCATGAATCGCAGAGACTCCATGAATCCTTCCGACTGCATCCACATCTGTGGTGAAGTGTTGCAGGCAACACGCTTCGAGTGCCGCTGACGCATTTCCATGCGTGTAACAGCCATTGCCAAATCGAGCGAAGCAGCTGGGGTCCGGGCAGGAATCTTTGTACTTCGTCCTGGAAAACGGAGACGCCGTGATTGTCAAACCCCCACGACCAAGTGAAAGGAATCCATGCCCTCGGACATCTTCCTCCACAAGAGTCTCCGTCGGTACGCTCACTCACTTCCTCTGGTGGTACAAATAGGAATGCAGCGATGGTGTTCAACGGTGATACCATAGAGCTCACGGTAGCGATTTCTCTTCGTCATCAGCTCAACCTGGAACCGTATTGCGCAATCGGGAACAGTTCAATCTTGGACCACTGGATAGCCTCGTTCTTTTGAGATTGCAGGAGCGCATCATTAGCACCACCTCCCCAGGAAGCTATACGAGTCTCTCAGCCCTCCAGCATTGCCCACACGTTTGGATGTAAACTTTTGACTGGTTGGAGCAACTCTAAACTCTGGACCTTCACTCGCTGGACGGAACACCTGCAACAAGGATGGCAATCACCATGCGAATGTGCGGAGTGTTGGGTGCTCTCTTGCTCTGAGTGGCTCTGTCTGAGCACACTGATGCAGCCAGGGTTCTACTCTACTCCGAGGCTTCTCCAGCGTCAAGCTACGCTCCAGAGGGTTCTCCAATATCCTCTCCACCACCATGTCCTACAGCTTCTGCTCCCCGCTCCCAGGATATGGTTGGTCTTTTCAGCACCCCAGAGAACTCCAATGTTCAAGTCGCACCCCTACCACTTGTACCGTCGTCTGTACAGCCTCGTTTCAATCCAGCGAATGCTGGGCACACATAGCCTACAGAAAAAAGCTCATAGCAATCTACACATCGTTTTGTCAATAAAGACGGGACGTCGGGCTCCACATTCGTGTGAAACATGGCGTTCTTCACGCTTCTCATGTCCTATTCTTCCATGTTTAAGTGCGGCGGTTCAGAGCCTGGATACCAATTCCATTGCCCTCAATTCCATGCAATGTGTGCTTCGTTCAGTCACAATGACCAGAGCATGGAACCTTGGACATGCAATTCGCTTTGCAGTCACACACAATCATGAGAGAAGCAGCTTCACCAACAAAGATACAAACTGGACATGAGCAGGACAATATTTCACAGCCACGCGGACCTGCCAAACCCTTTCATTTGGACAATTTCGTCCCAAGGAGATGATGCTCCCAAAGAATAGTTTCTCCATGTGCTAACCTCTAACATACTGGACAGGGCTATTCGGCCGAATCTAAGTGAAACCCTACCACAACTACAATTTCCTAACATGTCTTTCCACTCGTGTTCCGATTTCAACCGTATCCACAAAGCGCGCGAAGCTCTCAGAAACTGATCACGATGCCACGGAACGCGAGCCTTGGTACCAGATCAAGATGGACCATCATCAACCTCAAATCCAGCTCCTGTCCACCCTCCGTTCTCATCCGATTTAGATCTCCCTAACTGCAAAGGGCCCTTGGGTCTGCCAACACCCCGCCCTCGCCCTCTGGGAACTCCCACATGTAGACCTCGACCTGCAGGCCGTGCTTGCACTTGATGATTCGCCTTGTCCGCCCCAGCAGTTACATGGCCTCCTGGGTCAGGCGAGGTTGCTATGGAAGAGCCAGGTGCGCCTGTTCCTGACTTCTGTAGATTGATGGACGCAGTGGTTGTTGCTTCCTTTGGGAGGTTGTCGCCATCCACAACTGCGGAGTTTCCTCCCTGCATTTGATGACAAAGATGCTTCTTTATGAACACAATGTATCCCAACAGAATGATTCGCGCAATCAACATTTGGTCGGTCCAGCCGCAAAAATTGCTAAACTGAGCCACGACCATGCACGGGCAGTGGCGAAGAACGATGACAAAATCAAAGAACGACGCAATTTTCCGTGACTACGTCGACTTTCTTTGCAAATGAAAAAGCAGCCAGCGTGTAAGACAACAGGATAACATGGGTATTGTAAGGAGTAGTTAGTAAGGAGCTCTATAAACATGTGCATTGGTCCGTCATCTCTGCAGACTGCGTTAATCCTAATAAAATTAACAGCGGTCGCAGAGGAAAGGTGATTGATGATGAGGCGCCCTTACATCGACACTGCCTGAAGTGTTCTTGCAGCTCTGTTGCTGTGCAGCACTGTCATGGGCGGGCATTGATCTAAGCCCTGCTGTGAGAACCTGGGACGCCCCACCCTGCAAAGCAGGATTCAGAGCTTCTAGCCTGCTAGTCAGCTCCTCCAGACGGGAGTACTGAGCTTCGGCACTTTGTTGTACCTGCATAAACATGATGCTTCGAGTCGGTCTGTGCAATCCAATTTCCGTCACCTCCAGTATACAGAACCAACAATATTCCTGAACACTTTATGCCAACAAAAATAACATCCCTCAACCCCCTTGTCCTTCATACAACGAGGTAATGAAGCTCCACTCTACAATATAGACAACTGGAGCGATGCTCCAGTGACCATTTGTTCTATAACATGATCGTTGGTGTTGAGCGAACAATTTTTCGGAAAGCCAACACCCTGCATTCAACCCCCAATTGTCCGAGAGTTCCCATGGAAGGTGACTATACCAAACACTTGAGATCGTTACACAGCCTCTGCTTGTTCAGCTCTTCTACCTCAACTGCCTTCATAGCAGCTTCCCACACCTGCAACATGCACTAAAAATCTCATCCCTTGAATTGCAAAAGTCGTCAGCAGACGGTTGGACAAAGAGCATAATGCCGCGGAAAGTTGCTCAGTTGCAAAGTTGCGGCGCAGGTTGCAACGTGCTGATCAAGAAGCAATTTGAGCACAAAGTACCTTCCTTGCTTGCTCTTCCTTAGCTCTGGCAGCCTTGATCTTTTCGGTGGATGCTTCGATTAATTTCCGAAGATGCTCCAGAGCTTTCATCGTGCATGCCAAAGACACGGTGTCAAAACTACGCGCACGGAGAAAGAACAGCGTATGTGAAGCACTCTAAAATAACAGTCTAGTTGAACACCTTGAAAGCAAATACGCGTGATTCGAAGAGTCGTCACACATTCGCTCATTTGCCAACTTGCTGCGCTAAATGCGAGCTGGAGGGTTCAGGGGAGTGCCTGCTTTCTTGGGTCCCGCTGTGAGCTTCACTTCCAATGCCAATGAAGCTAGCTCTTTTTCCACGTTCTGGATTTTTGAGTAATTGTCTTGGATATACCTGACAACATCATTCATAAAACACCACCCATGCAGGCAACTTACAGGCAGATATTCAGAAAATTATACGAGATTATGCAACTCTTAACCACTTTGTCCAAACAGACCCCGGCTGGTGAGTACTCGAAACTCGACTTCGTAACCGACTCGTCACGTTACATTAAACCAAAACAAATCTACTCCTATTCCCAGCCGAGCCGTTCTGAACTGCAAGCCAAGTCACGTAACCTAGACGTCCATCCATATCGAATTTGTCGACACAATGGCACCGATAAACTGACGATCCACACATTACATTCTAGCCAATGGCTCTAAGTTCGTGATGACAACCGGAAAAATCGAAAGCATGATTACACACACTAACATCCAGAGACAACTCACTTTCTCAGCATCTGCTCCTTCTCCTCCAGAACCTTGTAGTAAGGAAACAAACAAATCACACATGAGACGCCCAATCAAATCCCAGAGTGCCCAGAACACCACCAAAAAATGAAGGAAGGCTCCCACATAAGGAAGATTCCACAGATCGAGCAAAAAACCAACAAAACCCTAACACCCAAATTCGAAACACAGGAAAAACTGAGCTCACTTTCTGGGTGTAGGCCATCTTGGGATCCTCAGCCACAATCCCATCGGCACTAGAGGCTTGCGTCCCCATGCCGTAACGGCGCAGAATACTTCTGGAGTCGTAATTCTCCTCTCCTCTCTTGTCTTGTCTTGTCTTGTCTTCCGATGCGCTCGCTCGCTCACTGTCTCATGCACACGCCCACCCACATTAGAGACTGAGGAACACGACGACGTGAGAGAGAGCTGGGTCACGACGCTAGACTGACGCCAGGGTTTCTTCACTCTGTCGCTGCCGACATGCGAACCAGGCGTTCCCTTGAATTGAACGTGTTCCTTCCCGGCTGTGGTCGCTGAGTCACTTAGAGGGGCCGCCTAGAAACGCTGCTCAACGTGTCCATTGAGAATCTCCAGCGGGGGCACGGTATTTCGGTGGCGGGAACTCAAATTGAATGATCCACGTACGTAGTGGCTTTGTGTATTGTTTTTGATTTTATTTTATTTCGGTGATTGGATGAAATATGTAGGAAAAGGTACCCAGTAAGTATTTTGGTCTATTGGAACAAGAAAAGTTGAAATAAATATAGATTGTGTGCCAACTACAGATTTTTAAAAGAATCAAAGTGTGTAGCTGTGTTTTATCTGAAAATAAGTTTACAGACGAGGTTCCTGAGTTGATGGATATAATGGAGCAAGGAGAAAAGGTAAAACTACTGAGAGTTATTGCAAAGCTTTGAAGAATCAAATTTTGTTTAAAAATTAAATTTGATACATAAATGAAATTGAAATTAACAATAACTAGCATACAATGTTAAGAATAAAATTGTAAGGTTAATTGTTAAGGCAGCATCCTCATATATAGATCGTGTTAATGTAATTAACCCAATATATTTTATAAGCTTGTATTTGTAAACATTTGATTATCAATATCTCTCTTTCTATAAATATATATATATATATATATATATGACTATTTAGGCAATTTGAGTGAATACATATTAAATAAAGATTGCCAAAATATAACAAATACAATAGTATACTACTATAATTCATAATAGAAGTATCATACTTATCTGCAATTTTTGACCTCTACAGAAAGTTGGGAGAGAGGCTATCAAGGTTATTGTATTATCACAAAATGATGAGTGGCATCAATGAATTTGTAATGGACATACCCAACCAAGCAGCAAAGTCTTTCCAGCCTACAGAAGAAATGGTGGACACTTGTGATTATATATTCTCTAACAAAGCATTCAATTTCTTACAGAAAAAACTAGACTTGGAACCCCTGTTCTTCCAAAGAATTAACCAGTTGTAGCAATTTTTGGACTAGTTGTAAGCTGTATTATTCTGAATTGCTTGTGCACAGGATCACTTGTATATCCTTGTAGGTATTGAACAAGCTGCTATGAGTGAGAGAATGAGTCAACAGTTTCAAACTGAATTAGAGTCCTTTAAAAGAGTTGGTCCAAATTCCTCCAGATCTCAGTATGTTATTTCATGGTGCTATATGTAAGATGTTGAAGGAAAACTTTTGCATCACACTGGAGGTGTGATAAACCAAATTCTCTAAGAATTTGGTACACCCATGGTTGAAGTGCTGGTTCAAAATTATTCTAAGAAGCATGAACATGATCACCCTCATCAAGATGGTCCAACAATTACCACAATAGCAAAACATTCAAAAGCTACCAAAGCAGAAGCAAAAGCTTATCTTCTGAGCTTCATCATTCCTTCAAAAATGATTGGATGGTTGCTTCATGAATTCAAACAAAAGTGTAGTTGGTATGTTAACTGTGTAGAAATCCCAATTGTTCATCCAAAAAATAAATATTATCAAAATTCCTCTTGGAGACCAAAGTGCTTTAAATCATTAAAGCAGTTTCTTTGTATACATAATAGAATATGCTGATTTTTTGGCAATAAAAATTAATATTGATAGTAAGCTTTCCTATTCTTTTACTTTATTAATCAACCATACTTGACACTATTTTATATGAAATTTAGAATGTTGCTCCATGTCTTCTCTCTTACATGCCCATAGGCTATGACATTGCTCTCTTTGTGCAAGTAGAGTTGTTGATAGAGTAATTGATAAAGATTGCCTTGCCTCACTTACTTCCTTTAAAATAATCCAATTATCTATTACTGGCTTACATTAGAGAGTTGTCTATTGAGAATGTAGTGGATTGGATGGATTATAGTATGATTGCAAGCATTTGAAAATAATATCTTCAAGACAAAGTTGATTTGTTGCTTGAAATTACAACAAGAATACATAGATGGTTTAGATTAATAACAACTTGATATGCATACATTTTTTGGTAAAAGTTTGTAGCTTGGCTTGTATTGCAAGTTTACATGCTTTGCTGAGGTATTGAATAGATGCTACACTTATTTTTGCACATTCATCTTTTTAGTGCAAGTAGCATCATTGCTAAGGTGGTTGATCAAGATTTATTTGTATTTCTTACTTTATTTAGTTAATAGAAAGTTATCTAAATTTGCTTAGTTGTGAGAGTAGTTTGTTAAGAGTGTCATGGATTGAATGGATTGCAATGTTAATACAAGTCTTTGAAGATAACTTCCTTTAGACAGAGTTGACTTGTTGGTTGAGATTACAATAAGATTACATGGAAAATTTGGTTTATTAATAACTTGGTCTAATATTGATACTAATACTTTAGCTATGGTCCAATGTTTATATGATGTTTATGTGAAAAAACCTCACTTATTATAAATGACTCTTTTTTTATGTTAGAGTATATTATTATAATTAAATTGAAGCAATGATTGCTTAAAAATATGCATCGTATTGAATCATTTTAATATGCTTAAAAATATGAAACATATTGAATCATAGTAAATTGTCACGGCCATAATCATGTAAGCTAATAATTACATATAGAAATAGGTAGAAGTAAGTAAAAGTAGATAAAAGTAAGTTAATTCTATAATATTTAATATAGAAGCTTCCTAGAAACTTCTTAGACGCTGCTTTGACTTCATAGGTGTCTTTAATTGACTTTTTGGATTAGAAACGTGGTCAACAAGTTGGCCATGTGCCACACATGTTGTTAGCTTGAAGATCAAGCTAACTATGTGGCCCACACGTAGAAAAACTTGCCTTGTAAGTCAAGGCATGTGTCCTACAAAGTCAACACATATTGGAGGTCCTATAGAACATCGCCACGTAGCCCCTAGTTAGATAGTATATATAGAGACAAGAGTGAAGGCTTCTTCACTCTTGTCAACTCCTTTCTTGCTTCTAGTCTAGTTTCAAGGGTCTCTAGTTTTCTTGTCTTTTGGCAATAGCCATTCTAGTTTCTCTTTTCAATATACATACTTATTATTCATATTTTGTTACTTTTCTTTGAGTGAAGGCTTACTTGTCTGAACTGTTTTTTCATCGAGTTCTTGTCCTTGACAGATTGACAAGAGTACACTTACAATATCAGAGCTTTGTTTTTCTTGAGTAAGAGTGGATTACCCCTTTCTCTTGACAAGACATATGCATATTAGAAGTTTGCGGATTACCCACTTCTAAACTGATATTGTTCTTAGTATCTTCTTTGTTATCAAGTCTTTTTTTTTTTTTTTTTTTTTTTTTTTTTTTTTTTTTTTTTTTTTGTCTTGAGCAGTATCAAACAAATTTTTCTTCTTAGTGTCATTATGGCAGAGCTTGTTGAAATGAAGAGTGCAATGGTACAAATGCAAGAGCAAATGATGGAGTTAATGCTTGCGATGCATCAACTCAATTCACCAACACATGAAAGAACAAGAATAGCAGAAAGTGGAGATATAGAGATGATCGGAGCTGCTTCAACATCTACAACAAACCACGTTCCTTCTCTAATTGTACAACACCCTGTAAGCACTAGAGAACCAAAAATTGCATTATCCGAGAAATTTGATGGTACGAGATCAAAGTTTCGAGGGTTCATCAATCAAGTACAATTGGCAATTGAACTTCAACCACAAAGCTATCCAACTCCAGGATCACAAGTCAGGTTTATTGGCACTCTACTTTCTGGTTCTGCATTATCGTGGTTTTCGTCTTTTCTTGAACAACGAAATCCAATATTGGATAATTTGGAAGCTTTTTTGGCGGAGTTTCGATCTATGTATGGAGAACACGATGCAACTTGTATTGCAACAAATAAGATCCGAATTCTATGACAAAAAAATCGCTCAGTAACAGTGTATGCTTCACAATTTTGACAACTTGCAATTGACATCAAGTGGGATGATGCTGCACTCATCAGTCAATTTCTTTATGGATTGCAATACGAAGTAAAGAAATTGATGCTCAACTTACCTGATCCTCAAACTTTGAGTCAAGCAATCGATTTTGAAGTAAAATGTGATAATCGACTTTTCGAATTTCGATCCGAGAATCATTCATGGGAACCTCAACATTATAACTCGATGGCAACATCAACATCTTTGCCAAACGTACATTCGGAAGTAGAAGACATGCAAATTAACGCGGTACGTTTTAAACCCCTAACTGAGCAAGAAAAGATTCGTCGTCGTCAAGAAGGATTATGTTTATATTGCGGAGAACCTAAGCACACTGCTCAACATTGTCCAAAGAAACGACACAACTATAAAATGAGGGGTAGGACGGTCAAAGAAGACAACATGTCAGAAAACGGATTCGTCCAGCTACAATAGGGACCGTGCAGCTGGAACCTTGTACAATTCCTAATGAAGGTCCTATCCTCTCCTCAGAACCCTCTCCTTATTTTATAATAGACTTATATTTAGGACCTAAGAATTACAAAGCCTCTGCTTTATTAGATTCGGGAGCCTCAGCATGTTTTTTAGATGAACAATTTGTTAAAAGTCGTAAAATACCCTTTGTACAGAAACCTAAATCAGTACATGTAGAAGTCATAGATGGTCGTCCCTTGTCTTCTGGAGATGTCACTCATGAAACTCATCCTATAAAAGTAACAATAGGCGGTCATGATAGCTACATAGCTTTTAACATAATTAAATCCCCGTCCAATCCAGTTATTTTAGGTTTATCCTGGCTTGAAAAATATAATCCTCGAATAGATTGGAATTCGCGTAAACTTGATTTTTTCCAGAGTGTTATTAATAGTTCTACCAACTAAGTAAAAAATTATAAGTCTAGTATAGTAAAACCCATACTGATAGGTGCAAAAGCATTTATACACGCAGCAAAAGAAGGATCAACTTTTGCTATTTATGCTGCACCTATTTCTAAAAACGTAAAGA